CTGTCACCAAAGTACAACAAGCTAAAGGTTTTACTTGGCCAATACTGTGAAATAATCAATGTTAATATTCAGACATTTTTATAGGTGGTACTAAATGGGCGATTTTTATGGCCGCCATTTTGTTCCATCACGATCCTTACTATTGAGTACTACCTTACAAAATGATACTGTGTTCTTATTTCTAGGTGTTTCACAAAGTCTCCTGGTCATTAACATTCTAGGACAACTTTTATAAACGTTTAAATTTATTGTCATATTCAAGTTTGCAGCGCTCTCTATTGAGCAAAAAATTAAAACATTTGGAAATTTCTTTCGCTTACAGCATTATGAATCTAATAATAGTGTTATAATAATTAGATAGGTAATGCCATGAGACTCATAAGTGTGCTATAACTATTTAAAATTAAAGCAATACCCTGACATCCTGGGTGTTAAAATTAGTGAAAACTGAAAAAAATTAACTCCTTGGGCCTCATAAGCAAAGCGTTGTTTTATGAAAAAAAAACACCACTGTTGTTTAAAATTAAAAGTCTTAAGACTTTTTTAAATTGTGGTAATTTTCATTAGCTAGCCACACTTTGATTTATAGTATTATATCAATATATGTTGACAACTGACAGTATTAAAATAAAGATATCTAGCCTTTAAAAAATGGTGGTGTGTTTTTAAGAGTATTAAATTTACACCAATTTGACTTGTATTACTTTGATTTGAGCTGATGCGTAAATTTAATTTTCTTGGTGAAGCGAACTTTGAACCTCTGTTGGTAAGGGTTAAGGTATAGTATAATTGAAACTTATTAACTTTTTGGAAATCATAGCCTATTTGGAAGCAAAAGGAAACTTAGCAATAAATCAACTTTACAATGTTTCAAAACAGAATGAGTACCTATATATTGGTTGTCATGGTAGTAATATAGATAAAGTACCTTGTGCATAATCTTTCTATACTTGACACTGTGTTACTTTCTTTTTGGATAGATCTAATATTTTTGGTACCTCATTCACTGTTTTTGATTGTGGTGATAACCCACAAAGACGTAGACTTTTTGGTGACGAAATAGGAATGCACTGTGAAGTTGCTACAGTTGTTTATGTAAGTTTGATTTTTTTTAAAGTACACTATTCACATGATTAGAGGATTGTTGAAATTTGTAATATTATAACTAAAACAAGACTCAAACCATTGTTATAAAGTATGTAAATCCTGAATAGTTCGTTATTATGAAAATTAAGCATTTGATGATCAGTAATTGAGTCCATTCATTGCTTTGAAGTGAATTACATATTTCAAAGTAATATGTATTGTTCATGAACTGTGACTAACCCTCAGAGAAGACTTTTGAATATTTTACTTGTGAAGATTCATCAGATAGTTGAAAACCAGCCAACCACAGCAATTGTTGCATATTGGCTCCAAGTGTCTCAAAAATGTCATTAGCAGAATTTAAAACTGATTTCAAATCCACAAAATGGTTGTTCAGACACTTAAGACAAGGCAGACACCATCCATTACACAAGGATTTGCATATTAGATCATATATTTGATCATAAAATACCTTAAATTTACTGAGGGAAGTGTTTGATATAACAATGGTTTTTACCTGATGATGACCATAACAGATGAAACTTTTGTGTCCAAATTCAAAATAACAACTAGGTTAAAACAGTTTAGCTTTAGCAGTAAACTCATCAAAATTTGACAACAACATAAACATGATTTGTAAAAGGCTAGGCTTTATTATTTTTACACCTTTTACTTTTAAGTTTTTATATAATGTTATAGGAGTTAAGCTTATTTCTTTGCAAGCTAAATGATTGACATTTTTTTGGTTATTGGAACTACTGTAATCAGTATGGAACATTTAAACAAGAAATTTCCAGTTTTAGACCAAGTTTTAGAAAATCAAACATTGCATTAATGTGTGGAACATTTTCAATGAAAAAGCCTCTTGATCCAACCATGAAAGCAAGATGAAATAATCTTTTTTTTTTTTCAATTTCAACCTTGGCATTTTTCACAGCTTTGCAAATGTTATTTATTTGTGGTGGTTTTTTTAGCTGTTATCTACATATGAATTAAATACAATGTGATTTATGGTATGTGGTTTAGTGTATCAAGACATTTTATTGCATTGTAGGAAACAAATGTGCTCGGATTTAGAGGCCCACGAAAGATGACTGTTATCATTCCAGCATTGACATTTGACCACAAGAGAGTAGATATTAAACCAGTTTCGGTAAGTGAATTCCTTTGTAGTCCCTTTTTTGGGAATGTTTTATAGCTCATAAACATAATGACACTTGAGTCATCAACAGGCAACAAAAACATTTTGGTATAAACAAGTAAAGACTTTTAGTGAAAGAATTGACTTTTAAGAAAACTTTTATTACTTTTAACATCATTTTGCATTAACCATAAAAAGTATTATTACATTGTTAACAGACTGACTGAAAGTGTCTTCTACTACAAAACTTTAACAGTTTATTACTATAGCTCACTAAAGATCAAAATATGTATGTAATATACAGTCTAGTAAAATCATCTTATGTAATGGGTAATGGAATATTCATGTTCTATATAAGGTACAATAGTAGATAATACGAAAATAGATAAGGGCATATACATGTAATATATAATGCAATAATAGCACCTAATACAATAGATGTGGTGATGTGAATGAAATATATAATACAATATTAGCACTTAGCAAAGTCCTGAGGATCAATCACACTCTAGAAGAATGAGGGTGTAGATCCTATGCTGCACTTGGAACCAATTTCTCCATAGTTGTCATACTCAAACTGATGTCCATGCTCACACACCGTTACTCAATTTAGCAGTTTCCACTGTAACAAGAGTGGCAAGATTAATTTTAGACCTTACGCTTTGACAAATTTTCTACAGGCATTCTACTGCACATGAAAGTTGGTTTTCTAATTCACATTTAGCAAGAAAAAAGTGTGGTTGAGTGATATTGTTCCAATTCCAGTTTCTTCAGCCACATCTCTTTGTTTTTATACAACAGCTGTTGATTCCAATATGATTTTCCCCCCTCTCACACAAAGTTACCTTAATCTTCTATCTGCCCTCTAAGCATTACTTAACATTTGTGCACTCAGCACACCAGTCTATATACCTCATCAATTATGCACCACTTTTGAACATGTACATATCACATGACTACTCTTCATCAATAGTATTGTACCACCTGTATTGACACAACAAGCTCTCTATGCTATTCCTGCTAAATCCTTACTTTCCCAATCCCCCCCCCCCCCCACACACACAAAATGCTGGGAGTGGTCGTGTTTTGTCACAATAGGAAGGGTCTTCACATCTATGCTTACCCTCCTATTCGATTCCTCTACAAGAGTTCTATCCCTATTAAAACCACTCTGTGTCTCTGACTACTTGTGGCTCCGTATTGGCTTGTGCAACCATTGTTCCCACTGCTCTGTCCTTTACTTGTACAACCTCCCCTACCATTACATCTGTCTCAGTGCCTATTTTATCAACCTCAGTTGGACATTGTTCGTCCAGACATCACCACACTTTGTCTTCATGAATGGCTTTTGTCAGGTCCACTGTCTCAGCCCAGGTACTGACTCTATGTGTTACACCTTTCCTATCCCAATGCATTAGACTTTCTTCTATGTTCACTTACTACAGGCGATGGTGTGCCTTCCTCCTTTGATCTCTTCAATGTGATTTCCATCCTTCCCACTCTTCCATTCCTCATCTTTCTCAGTTCTTCATCTGGTTGTTTGATAACGGCACTTCTACTTCAAGTGTGTCTAGCTATTGGGCAACTTTGTCGGACACCTTCCGTTTCTCCTGGTTTTGTCTTCCTCTGTCATTTCCCTCCTTTTCTGCTCCTTTCAATCATGCACCTTCCACATTCCTTTGATTTTCTTGATTTTGATTTTAGTGTGGTCCCTTATGTCTTTCTTGTCCTCCCTTTGAACCTTTGTCGTCATGTTTCATCTACCATCTCTTCCTCAAGACCTGTTTCCTTCTCCTCTTTGCTTGTGAACATCGTAGATCAGATATTTATGCCTTTAATGTTACCCACTTCCTCTACCATTCCTCTTATGTCATCCTATATCCCAACCAGTCTTTCCTCCCTCAGACCTACGCATCCCTTGAAAGCTGTTTGGCTTTCACATCCATTTCCTTACCTTCCTTCTCCCATTGGTACTCCTACTCTGAATTTTCAGCAACCCTCATTCTTACTACTGATAATGGGATCCCATTCTGTGATGGGTGTTGCCTGGTTAGGTATATTTGCTTTGCCACAAACCTGCACTATTTACTGAGTTCACTATAATACTCACTGTAGAGATGGGATGGGACTGGTGGACTATCACTCATGGACTTCATGAATAAAGCAGAAGGGGATTTCTACCCATCTCTGCTGACCTTTTGATTAAGTAAATCAGAAATCTCTGGACGTACCACTGCATTTAATCCCCCCCCCCCATTTTTCTTCCAGTGGAGCATGAGAGTCCTTATCACTTCTCAGTTCCCAGTCACTGGGTGGTGGACCATGGAACTTCCTCTTTAATGAGTTTAGAAATTTAGTTTACCATACATACTCATAATTGTACACTCAGTAAGAGGGCAAAGCTGGTTTCCCTCCTACTATTTTCCCTGGATGTTTTTCAGAGGTGGACAGCTGTCAGTTGGAGCAGGTCCAGCCTAGACAGAATCCTCCTCATAATACCGCTTTCAGGATGATACCACCCTGTTCCTATGGTTGTGTGAAGTAGAGGCTACTTTTTTCGTTAATTTTGGTTGCAGGAAGTTCTTTCTCTGCTCCTATGGTTGAGTTTGGAGAACTTTGTCTGCCTTGTAATTATGACAACAGGATGTACATACACTGTTTCTACAGTGGAGCGAATATTCCATGTCCTCCTTGTAATTCTGGATGCAGGCTGTCTCCTCCCTGCATTTATGGTTGAGTGATTTATTATTTTCCACTCATAATACCAGTTTCAGATATTGCCTTGTTCCTATGGATGAGTTGAGGCAACACCACAACCTCGTAATGCTGGGTTTGGTTTGTTGTACTTCTTGTTCCAACCGTGGTCTGGGGAGTTTGTAAGGTCTTGGCCAAAAGTTAAGTTCCTCTTCATAATTCCCATTGCTTGACATAAGTCACTGTTTACTTACGGTAGGGGTTGTTGAGTGTGTGTGTGTCTATACATAAATAAATAAATATATATAGTCTAGCAATATCATCTGTCCTATTTTAATACACAAATATGCTAAAAGATTGTTTTTACCTCAAAAGAAGTTGTTTATAGGTAGACTTTTTTTTCTGATGTAAAAAAAACAAACTTACTGATAGTATTTTAAACTTTCAGGAAAGAGATACTTTAATTGAAAGGTGGAGAAATGGGAATGTGGAAAATTTATTAACTCTTCACAACAAAACTCCTGTGTGGAATAACGGTAAGTAACCATATGGTTATAAAAT